AAAGTATTTTCTTCTTGGGATTTTCTTTCTTTTTGGGTCATCCTGCCTCGGTGGGAGACGGCCGACGTGTTAAAAAAAAAAAGTCACCATGGGGCCTGCGAAGTTTAGTGATAACAACCAACCAAAAAGAAAATTAGTTGGGAAGAATTTGCCCGATACTCGAATGGATCGGCACCAAACCAACAGCCTTCTGGAATGAGTTAAGTTCGCCTACTGAGGTTCCACTGTACAGTGTAAGTGACATGGAAATGTGGGGTGACCATGGAAGAAACACAAGTCTAGCCTAACAACACTAATTCCAAGTGAAAAAAAAAATCTATCATTTGGAGTACAATATAAAAAATGTGAGAAGCTTCAACAGATTTGTGGCAGTAATTTATTTCCACAATAACAGCAAATTTAAGTTAACAAGACTGCTTGGTTGTATTAAGGTTAATCCTTCTATAAAACAGAATACTGTTATAAAGCTCATGTTTCAGGAAGAAAGGCTGTACCGAAACTACAGAAATGAGACAAACTTAATGAAACACAAGAACAATGAATCCAGGTATGTGGTCCAAACCACCACATTTTTACTGCATATAGAACAGACCAGAACTTGTTGCTGTAGCTTTTCATATCCCTCATCTAATGGAATTTTAGAAATAATACAGTCACTACTACTATAAGGTTTACAAAATAGGAAAGCAAAAGTAGAAGACACTTTACCTATTCAGAAAAATTATTTGGAATCAAATTAGTGGTGTCATGCTTTTGCTTAACACTTCATGAAGTAAAAAGAATAAATCAGTGAAGTAAACAATAACATTGAATAAATTATACAGGTTATTAACTTGCTTCTATAATTAACAATCAACCCTTTGTACTGTATATATTATTTCAAATAATTTTCTATACAAAATGAAGCCTTATTAAAAGACTGATGAAATTAATCTAAAAAAAAAAAAAAAAATAATCCATTTAAAGACATTACTAAAAGCATTCTCCACTCATGAATGGTTAATAATGTTCAGCAAAGCCCCAGGCAAACAGCAATCATCCAGCATGTCGTAGTTTCAGGATAAACACCCGTGTTTGCTAGTTCACACGTATAAGCTAATTCCCATAGATCTCACACCATTACAGTTCCATACTAACTATAAAAGGGGTGACGTTTTGCAGCTGAAGGTAGACATCTAGTGTGGTATCTTCTTGCAAGTGTTGATCTCGTGTATGGGTATGGTAAATGAGAATGGAATGCAAAGAGGGACAGCGACCAAAACAAAGTATGTGTGCAAGAGAATTAAAATCTATCATAAGGATGGGCATTAGAAAAAAGGACGGGATGGTGGGCTTTTACTTCCCTCTTGCAATAAAAATGATTACATCATTTTATATATATTTATTGCTGTGAATATTACCTCTGTTATTTCAAAATTTTACATGAAACCCAACTAGCACAGAAAAAAAAATGATAAAGAAAAAAGTAAAAAGACAAAAATTTGATTAAAATAAAGCAGCATCCGTTATGAATAATTTAAAGTGCTTGAGATGAGTTGGATAAACTGAATTGTTTTATGCAGCATTCCAAGAATGCAATTGATTAAGGTCCTCACTAATAAGTCCAAAGCAGCTCTATTGTTAGATCATTGCAATGTTAGGCCACAAACATGATATACGACAATATGTCCTGGAGTTGATACTGGTATTACGCTGGTGTGTAGTTGAATTATTATTAATTTTTCTAGAGATTTTCAAATGATTATCTTAATGGTATATAATAGTGATAAGTTACAGTTAAAGACACTTGAGTAAGCACTTGGAACATTGTATTATGATATCTTTCAGTCCTGGGGCTTTGTAAACAAAAATGGTACGACCAAAATGCATCCATAATAAATGTCATAGGTGTTTGCTCATGCTATTAACTTAAATTATACACATGATTAGCAGATGCTGGGTGCATTCTTCCATTTTGTCTTTGATTTACTCTTAATTAATGATATAATAATGGTACACTATAGTACAATATTTTTGTTATTAGAAAAGATAAATGACAATACTAGATTTAAAACTCACGCTCAAAATAAATTCTAACAAGTAAGCTTGATTTAAGGCAACTGGTACATGTTAATTAAGCCTTGCTCTAAAATCACACGTTTTAAGTAATGGACAATGCGTTTTAAATTACTGAATCTTACCTATGTTAAGATAACATTATCGATTCAGATAAACAGGATGCATGACCAGACTAATAACAAATAATTTACTATTAATTAAATCTGAAGTGACTTTCTGCTTTACAAAGTTAATCTCATATATATATATATATATATATATAAGGCATCTTTGAGATGTTGGGTTAAATATTAAATTCACTTTTGCTGACGCTTTCAAAACAGATACTGATAGCTTTCCTATTTTCTCTTCTGACAATACTGACCACATCATCATGTTCATTCTGTTTAGAACTAACTTGGATAGTTTTAAACAAGGTACTATGAAAATTCACTATACTGCATATAGTACACTATGGAAATTACTCTAGAATACGAAGTACACAGTACTCACGTGACAATACTCATCCCAGGTTCAGCTTACTGAACTGATACCTAGCCTGTCACTTATATGTTTGTCACCATCATATACTTTTTCTACTATACAGTGCAGATACAACAGCTTCAGTGAGATAACAGATGTAGAACATACTATCAAAACTCTACCATTCTACTCACTGTATGCCATGAAAATGTAATCTGTGAAAATTTGATTTTTTAATCAATATTTTTACATGTACAGTAGTTCATACTGATAGATTTTAATGAAAAGTTATAAAAAAAATACCAATATATATAAGAATAACTTTGTTTATTGAAAGTTCTTCTAAAATCAAGGTGTCATTTCACAAGATTTGGGTAGGGGAGATGCAGACAATGTACAAAAGGCTTGCTTGCATTATTTTTCAATATTCTTAGGGAATACAAAGGGGCAGCACCAGGGAAGGTTTGGGAGGCTTCAGCCCCCCCCCCCAAAAAAAAAAATCCATCCCCCCCAAATAAAAATAGTAATAATTAATAATAACACTGCTTCAAAATAAAATCTAGCTTCCCTTCCAACCAGATAACAAATTCTAAGCCACCCTTAGTATAAAAATTCTGGTGCTGCCCCTGGTAATATACCAAAAATCAGAGGTGCAATTTCACAAAAAGTTTGGGAAGGGGAAATGAAAAGAAGGCACTCAAGGCTTGGGAAATAGGGAAGGACATGAGACAAAGGTGGGAGGGGCTCTTCTCCAAAATACAATGCTTGCATCCCTTCCTTCCCCCCAAAATTATGCCCATGCTTATATGGTATTTAATACAATATTATACAGAAAATCATAAATTAACTGATGGTGAAAGTCAATTTTATTCTAAAAACATTGGCCACTTCTCACTAAGGTAGGTTGACCCACAAAAGGAAATCATCATCATTCATTCATTCCCTAGCCATTATTCCAGAAATGTAAAGGCATTAAAAATTAAATGATCCACTGACCAATAACATCCCAATCCATCCTTCAATGTACGGGCACTGTACTTTCCCACTCTTAGAATTCAAAGCCAACTTAATGATTTACCTGAATTCCTTGATAAATGCTCCCTGACACACATTCCAACAAAATTGTCCTACCCTAAAAAAATAATAATAATAATACACATCTGCTAGATGTTCAAGCCTCTGCTTCTACAAACCTTCACACCCTTGCTGGAACATTCCTTGCACTTCCTTCTATCCATTCCAAATTTATACAACCAGTTGTTCAACTTATCTTGCTTCACCCTTTCTAAGTAATCATATCTAATCAACAACCTCTCTTCTGCTCCCTGAATTTCTTTTATACCACCACACATATAATTTCTTCAATCCTTTTCCGTGTATAATATTCATATAGCTCAGTCAACCCTAACAAGATCTCTCCACTGTGTCCAGCCTCCTCCTCACTATAATATTTAAAGACCATGTCTTACACCCATACCAGTGTTGGCATCACTACACTCTAGTACATTACCCCAGTCTACACCCACTGATCAACACATTTTTTTTTTCCATATTCAACTACCTTCTTTTCCTCATCTATTCTATTTTTCAACTTGTCTTTCATAAACCTACTTGCCGAACACTTTCACTCCCAAAAATCTCAATACGCTTCTTTCAGTATCCAGTTGTTAACTTAAAAAAAAAAAAAAAAAAAAAGTGTGTGGCCTGAAGTAGATTAGCTAACATGGTCATCATGGAAGATGTTCCACCAATGGCTACTTTCTCACAACATTCATATACCTAGTACCCTTTTGTGATCTCACAGCAGCTCATTAATATTAAATTTAATTTGCTCTTTTATTATTTCATTTTATATCCATAGCATGCTCTTTTTCATTACTCTGTGATGTCCAGATCTAAACTCACTGTTTACCCCTGTAATCAGTATATGAGAGCTAGTTCAGCATGAAGGTTACTTCCTTAATTACTTTGGCCATGGCTACCCAGTCTTCAGCATTCACTGAAAGGACAGGGTTAGTTAGGGAATGACAAAGATGTTTCTACATTTGCCACTTCACCATGAATGTAAGAAAAATCCAAAAAGACACTGAGCTGATAATGATGATAAACAATTTTGATGATGACAGTGAAGATGCAAATGATATATATCATGTCAAATTAAAATCTCTGGTACTGTAACAATAATGAATTCTAATAATATTGTAGCATCTGGGATTGTAAATATTAATAATTATACTCAATCTCAGGGATATGACATACAAAGAGACCTAAACACACTGTTGATTGGTTCTGTAGTGGTGTGGGATAACCAGACTGACTAGTACAGGGCACTTTTACAGCTGGAATTGACATGGGTTACAACACGAGACAGGTCCTAAAGACAGAATTACAGTCACAAGGACAAAACAGTCTATAAGCTACAGAATGCATAGGAGTCTGAGTTTGATGGGTTGTATAATAAACAACCGTGAAAGAATTACCCGAAGCCTGCACACCGCACAGTTAATTGCCATGCAACGTTTGGGCAAATGCGCCTTAACTAGATCTTCATCAACCTTGTCCGCACTATCACGTGGAGGTGTGAAGCGGAAAACTTTCCTCCGCTTCTTTTCTTCTTGTTTGACACGTTCCTCATAGGTGGCAAAGAACTTAAAGCGGTTGACAAGAGAAGAATTTTCAATGGACACTTCATCATCGTTGCCATCCTGTGATTGTTCACCATGCACCTGCGAAGTGAAATTGCGAATGCGCTTGCCCTGCAACACACCAGCAACACTGACTGGTTAGATCTGCTGCCTGCTCCGCTGTGTCCAGTGTGTGTGTTTTGCTGGGAGACTTAATATTTATAATTAATGTACTAAGATTTAATACAAAAATCTACAAAGCTAATTTTATTCTACAGTCAAGCTTTTAATACTAGACAGAAGAAAAAAGTGAAACAGTCAAACTTTGCCTTCATATTCCCTTAATTTTCGAATCATAAATTTTATTAACTATAAACTTCAATACAAACCAGTTTTTTTTATACTAATAGGAGCTTTATAGAGTGCCTGTTGGATCTTGCAGCTCTCCATGAAGAACTCGAAGAAACTGCAGCACTCATTTCTCAGTCTTCAAGAACCTCAAGGAACTAGTAAATGAACTTAACATTTATGGCTCTCCTGGTGAAAGATGAGATTACCTTGTCCTTAACTTCACTAATCAACTAAGTCATAATTGATGAGGGCATTGTCATTCCTCTGCATCCAACACTTATCAGGCACTTTTAAATATTTCCCATCCATATCCAGCACTATCTATGAATGTCAGTATGTCTTAATAACATGTACACACTTAATGCCTTTTGCTCACCTATAAAAATCTTCAAGCGTGTCAAAAGAATTACAAAAACTGCATCTGTTAAATGCAAACTGTGATTCTCCACTCAAACTTACGAAGGAGTTAATAATCAACTAATTACCAATAAAATGGTAACCAAATGCTCTGACCTATAAATGTCAACTTGACTTTCTGAACCCTAACCATTCTATTTAGCAATGACTATTCTCACCACTAGCAGTATCTCAAGAAAACATGTTTCAATTTGCCTCCATGTTTGAAATACTGAATTTTCAACACTTGACTGAAGAAGTTAACTTACAACTCCTTGTAAGCAACCCAACTCATGTAACCAGCCAACTCTAAATTCAGTCAGTGTTCTTGGCATAAAGAAGAGCACCACATAGTGGCAAGTTTTTATTATTTGCTAAAAGTTCATCAGTTTGGAGCCAACTGCCAAATGGTGTCACTAAAATGAACACTTTAGTTAACTTTAAAAATAAGTTAGGCAAATATATGAGCGAGATTACATAAAAATGAGTAAGGCCTACTCAGAATTGGCTAGAAAGCCTATTACAGTGCTCCTCTATTGCAAGAAAAATTAGAAAAGATTAATACACTCACTGCAACAGGAACAGAGGAAAGAAGGAAAAGAGTTCAGCTGGGTTGGTGAAGTCAGGTCAGGTGAGTCATAGTGTTAAGTAGCCTGCCTCACCAATTTGACACAAATCAAGGACACCGGACCACGGTTTTCCTGGCCCTTTCCCTCTCATGACAGAGTATACATATTTGTATGTATATATTTTATTTCAATATTTACAATAGATGCCTCTCTTCACATCTTCTTTTGGAAATGTTTGGTCTATGCCCAGTTTTCTTTTATCCTGAGTTTTGAAGAAATGTGTATAAATACAAGAATCCATCTAAATTTCATGCAATTTCAAACTTCCATATTCCTCCAACTTACAACAACTTTTCAAATACTGTAAACAATCTGAGCTACATGAGAAGTATCTGCTATCTTTAATTCTCATAAGCAGATGGATATGGCACTGAGGTATAAAGTAAATTATTTATCTGATGCTTTGCTTTGTTGTAACAGGGAAAAATTAAAGAATCTTTAAAACAATATGCCAGGTTGCATTCAAACTACCTTACAAAACTGCACAAAATCAAAGCACTTGTATCTTAAATGAACATAAGAAAGGAGGAACACTGCAGCAGGCCCGTTGGCCCATACCAGGCAGGTCCTTTACAATTCATCCCACTAACAAAACATTTGACCAACCCAATTTTCAATGCTACCCAAGAAATAAGCAAAGTTTGACTGTATGATCTTTTTGTTAATTTATTATAAAGAAAAAGTGACCAGAAGACAGCTCCTCAGGATAAACCTGTCAAAAACTGTTGCAAAATTACTATATACTACTGAGAAAGTGAAAGCAGGGAAGAAAGATCATATCATTAATGTCATCCAAATTTATGAAAAAATCAGTAAAACAAAGAAAATATTCAATATCAAAAAACATTAATTTACACTTTTAACATTTATAGAGGAAGATATAATATATGAGACGTTTGTATAGTGTAAAGGCAAAATAAAGAATCACTTGAAATTTCTTTAGCATCATTGATAATATGAAAATAGGGATAAATGATTACTTTGATTACTGGTCCACAGCAATGAGAGGAATTTTCAAGTATAAGACTAGCTATATATCAATATGAATAAGAGACATCAAAACTGCTTAATTTTAATACAGCTATCAATTAAATCAATGAAAAGTTAGAACTTAATATCTATTGCTACGAAGATAGTAATGGGCTTGGCAAGAAATAGGTTTGTTTTAAACCTTTTTTGATTATTCTTAATCATTGTCTTTGGAAATTCAAATAATACAGTCGAAGTCTACTGGCTCCTTGGAGAAAGTCCCATATACTTTCATTCCAAGACAAATCAGTAGTGATTTATTTGGTTGGTAAGATCTCCACTTAAATACATGTGCTGTACAAGAATGTTGTTGTATGACTTGGCTTAGACACTGTATTACCCCTCAAGAGAACTCATGGCTTGCTGCTTCAATTAAGAGAAGAAAAAGAGAGTGAGCGAGTGAGAAAGACTAAGAAAGTAAGAGGGAGATAGTAAGAGAGAGAGAGACAAAGTAAGAGTGTGAGTGTTAGCGAGTGTGAGTGTTAGCGTGTGTGAGTGTTAGCGTGTGTGAGTGTTAGCGTGTGTGAGTGTTAGCGTGTGTGTGAGCATGAGCATGTGTGTGTGTGTGAGCATGTGTGTGAGTATGTGTGTGTGGAGCGTGTGTGTGAGTGTGAGCGTGTGAGTGTGAGCGTGTGTGTGAGCGTGTGTGTGAGCGTGTGTGTGAGCGTGTGTGTGAGCGTGTGTGTGAGCGTGTGTGTGAGCGTGTGTGTGAGCGTGTGTGTGGTGTGAGCGTGTGTGTGTGTGTGTGTGTGTGTTAGTTGTGTGTGTGTGTGTGTTAGTTGTGTGTGTGTGTGTGTAGTTGTGTGTGTGTGTGTGTGTGTAGTTGTGTGTGTGTGTGTGTGTGTGTGTGTGTGTGTGTGTGTGTGTGTGTTGTGTGTGTGTGTGTGTGTGTGTACTCACCTAATTGTGGTTGCAGGGGTCGAGACTCAGCTCCTGGCCCCGCCTCTTCACTGACCACTACTGGGTCCTCCCTCTCCCTGCTCCATGAGCTTTATCATCCCTCGTCTTAAAACTATATATGGTTCCTGCCTCCACTACATTGCTTGCCAGACTATTCCTCTTCCTAACAACTCTGGCTGAAGAAATACTTCCTAACATGTGTGTGTGTGTACACACATCAGCATGTGCACATGCGTACTAACCTATTTGTGTCTGCAGGGGTTGAGACATAGCTCCTGGCCCTGCCTCTTCACTGATCGTTAATAGGTTCTTTCTCTCCCTGCTCCATGAGCTTGATCATATCTTGTCTTAAAACTATGTATGGTTTCTGCCTCCACTACATCACTTATTAGACTATTCCACTTCCTGACAACTCTATGATTGTGTGTGTGTGTGTGCACGCACACATGAGCATGTGCATTGTGTGCAAACATGCATATGTACATGTGCATGCACACACATTTAAATCATCTACAGCAGCTGTATCAAAACAGTTGAAAGAGTAAATACATCAATTACAGCCTTGCCTAGCTATTTTCTAAGTGAGTGAGCTTCCGGCACTTGGTGTAGCATACATTACTCTATAATCATGTAATTCCTTGCCACCTTTTTACCCAAGCCACATTTAAATAAATGTTTCATTACTCTATGTTTATCTTTTCAGATGTTCCAAAATTATACACTACAAGAGTGCACGATGTATATCTAAGTGAAGTTAAACTGATTAAATTGTCTCCACACTGAGTACATCCAAAGAAATGGCATTTAATGCACCAAGTACTTTATCAATTTTATATATATGCATACAGTATAATTAGAAAAGGAAAACTACTATAGTGAGCTGTTAATATACATTTTCCTATTTTTATGTGAATACCCAAGACTTTATGTATGGTATTATATCTCCAGAAAGTTCCTGGTGTAAGTATGGATGGCTCGGCAGAGTTCGACTATACCAAAAAATGAAATCTCTTAATTGGAAAGCATTTTATTTTAACTAAACATTGTTTTAGAGAATAAAAGCAATACATGTATATCAAGTGCATGTGTGACAGTATAGAATAAGTCTTCAAGCTCCTTTGAATTTTAAACCAAGAAGATTATCATCATTATATTTTTAGGTGCAGGTGGATTCGTCTGATATTATAATCACAGCTGAAACTGTTGCAAGAGCATCATGTGCAATACTGTTTTAACCCTTTCAGGGTTTCAGCTGTACTAGTACGGCTTACGAGCCAGGGCTTTTGACGTACTAGTACGCCTAAATTCTAGCGCCCTCAAATCTAATGAGAGAAGCTGGTAGGCCTACATATGAAAGAATGTGTCTATGTGGTCAGTGTGCACGGTATAAAAAAAAAATCCTGCAGCACGCAGTGCGTAATGAGAAAAAAAAAACTTTGACCGTGTTTTTGGATTAAAACAGCGACTTTGCACTATATTTTCGTATGGTACTTATTGTTGTATTCTAGTTTTCCTGGTCTCATTTCATAGAATGGAAGACATATTATAGAAATTGAGATGACTGACTGGTTTTACAAAGAAAAGTACCTTGAAATTGAGCTCAAAGTAGCAGAAATGTTCGATTTTTACCAAAGTTCAAAAGTAAACAAATCATACTATGCGTCCAATACACGTCGACTGGTGAGTCTAATATTCTTTCACAAGTGCGCTGATATTATTTATACCATTTCTACACCAATGCAGTAGTCTGCGTAACAGTAAATCTTCTATTTTTTTGTCAGAATAAAAATTGAAAGTGGAAAGCAAAAGAATGTAAGAGGGGCATGGGGATGTGACTAATGAACAGAGGAAATGTTATTTTAGTGCCAGGAATGTCTTTCTTGTTTATTCTGGACCCTATTCGGAAATTGGCATCTTTTGAAATGTGTGTGAAATTGGCAAAATTGCTAAATTCTGACCATTGTATTGGATAGTTGAAATCGGTAAATGGGTGGTTTCTTGTACTCATTCGATAGAAAAAATTGAGTTCTAGTGAAATAGTTATGATTTTTGCCAACAACTGGAATTGGCCGAAAATAGGGCTCAAAGTGGGCAAAATTGCCGATGCGTAAACATCGTCGAGACCGCTAACTTCGTGAGAACATAATTCCGTAAGTTTTCCATCAAATTTCATACTTTTGGTGTCATTATGATCAGGAAAAGATTCTCTAACTTTTCATAAGAATTTTTTTTTTTTTTTTTTTTTCTTAAATTTGGCCGACCCTGAGAACAAGTCTCTGAGAGGGCCTGTTGACCCTGAAAGGGTTAAACAGACAAATCAACATGATAAATGGTGAAATATTTAAAAAGTAACAAGAATCAGTTATTCCTCATGATGTTACAGAGATTATAATAATAATAATATTATTATTATTATTATCATTATTATTTTATTCATGGGGAAGTATTAAACTCAGGGATCATACAGCACCTAGTGAATGGAAGGTAATCAAGTTGGATCCAAGGAAAGGGAGGGTATTTTCAGTTCCTTGGCTCAAGAGCCCTTCACCAGCATCAAGGCACTTCTCTTGAAGGGACAGAGAATAAAAATGTCTTGCCAAACCCATATAAAGTTACTCATGAGTGCTTGAGGTTCTTTTATGAACCATTATCAAGTACCCAATGTCTTTCATGCAGTAAGATCAGGTAAAGTTCATTAAGTCCGATATATGTGTACAAGTTGTAGGCAAGAAATACAGGAGATAACTTACTTCTCGTGATAACCTATTTTCCTTTCTTGCTTGTGCAGAGGAACGTGGCCGCATTACTACCTCACTGCCTTCTTCTGACACAGCTGAGTCTATCTTCTTGAATAAGTTACGAGCTTTGCTAGCTGTCTCTGTAATGATATCATTATTGTACATGTATAACAATCATGGCACTGTATGTTTTATGAAATGAAACTTATTTAAAGTTTTCTAACTTCAGAGTGTGGCAAAAAATGTATTCTATTAATTAATATATCCATGCATAGTATATCTCTTTACTAATAACATAATTCTTTTGGAGGATTCTGAAGACAAAGTGCAAAGGTTGATAGACAAATTCAGGAAAATATGTAAAAGAAGGAAATTAAAAGTGAACATAGAAAAGAGCAAAGTGATGAGTACAAAATGTCTAGGCACTGACAGACTGAATATCATATTAGAAGGAGTATGAAGGAGGTGGATGTATTTTAGATATCTGGGAGCAGACATGTCAGTAGATGGGTCTATGAAAGACAAGGTGAACCAGAGAACAGATGCAAGGAAAAAAAACATGGGTAGTGTGTTGAAGCATCTGTAGAATGATAGTTAATGAAAACAAAAAACAGAATGTATCATAATACAGTAGTACCAACATTTTATATGGGTGTGAGGCATGGGTTTTTAATATTACAGTGAGGTTAGAGGCAGTGGAGATGTCATGTTTGAGAGCAATGCATAGTGAGAGGTAACCAAGGGTATAATTCAAAGGGCTTAGGAGGGGTTGTTGAAGTGGTTTGGTCATGTAGAAAGGGTGGAGAGGAAGAGGATGATGAAGAGGGTATATAAATCTGGGGGTGGAAGGTACGAGGGGAAAAGGGTCATCCCAGGACCAATTGAAGGAACTTGAGCATCCAGTAGGTTTGTGAGTGTTAGATCAGAGTGAATGGAAACAAGTGATTTTTGTAGGTAAATGGTTCAGAAAACTGACAAGTGGTTATTAATAGATGTATTGAAGTATGAGCAAGGTAACTTTTACAAAGGGATTCAGGGAAACCATTTAGCTGGACGTAAGTCCTGGAGGTGGGAAAGGCACTCTGCAGGAAAGGTGGAGATGTTGCAACTGGAGAGTAATCTGAATTGTGAAATCAGCACACTTCTGGAAAGACAGTGATTGAAGGAATAATGATATAATGTGTTTTCTTCTTTGGATCACCCTGCTTTGGTGGGAGATGACCACTGAGTTAAATAGGCTTCAACAACAGTTGAAGATAAAGCAATCAATCCCTCAGTCTTGAAAAACTATAGATAGAAGACAGTAGAAGATGAGATAATGAGTCCTTTATCCTGGAAACTGAGGCACACTAACTGTAGTGAGTAATTACAATACCTTACACCAGTAAATACTTAATAGGGTTAATATTTACACTTTTCCAGGGAAAAGTGGAGCAGAATTCTTCTTCCTTAAGCCATGCGTCTTGTAAGAGGCGACTAAAATGCCAGGAGCAAGGGGCTAATAACTCCTTCTCCTGTATACATTACTAAACTTAAAAAGAGAAACTTTTGTTTTTCTTTCTGGGCCACCCTGCTTCAGTGGGATACGGCCAGTTTGTTGAAAGAAGAATTTACACTCTTCTGAGTCACAAGACATTTCTAAATTTTCTATAAGCATTTCCATCCTCTGTACAGTGGAACCTTGGTTTTCGTTTCCCTAGTTTTCGTCGAATGTGGTTTTTGACGACTTTTTTCGTCAAAATTTTGTCTCGGTTTTCATTCATCACCTCGGTTTTCGTTGAGCTGACAGTGGTCTGCTGTACCCAACGTGTCCGACCATGCCCACACAAAGCATCCCACATGTTCTGAGTCAGTCTGGCTTTGTTTCTCGTTGGTAGAGGGTGGTAGTGATGGTGGTAGAGGGTGGTAGTGATGGTGGTAGAGGGTGGTAGTGATGGTGGTAGAGGGTGGTAGTGATGGTGGTAGAGGGTGGTAGTGATGGTGGTAGAGGGTGGTAGTGATGGTGGTAGAGGGTGGTAGTGATGGTGGTAGAGGGTGGTAGTGATGGTGGTAGAGGGTGGTAGTGATGGTGGTAGAGGGTGGTAGTGATGGTGGTAGAGGGTGGTAGTGATGGTGGTAGAGGGTGGTAGTGATGGTGGTACAGGGTGGTAGTGATGGTGGTACAGGATGGTAGTGATGGTGGTAGAGATAACCTCTCTTCCCTCTTCGCCATTTTCCATATGCCAACAAGTCTTCAATAAAGGTAAAAGTGATGTTAACCCCTTGACTATCACAACCCCAAATCCTGAGGTGTCTCCTGGTGTCGCACAAAAAAAAAAAAAAAAAAAAAAAAAAAAGTTTTTCTTATGAAATGATAGAGAATATTTTCCCAATGGTAATGACACTAAAAGAATGAAATTTGATTGAAAACTGACGGAGTTACACTCTCGCAAAGTTAGAGACCTCAGCGATATTTATGAATCAGTGATTTCGCCCACTTTGAGCCCTATTTTCAGCTAATTCCGTTGTTCCAGTCGACCAAACTCATAGCTAATTCTTTAGAACTCCATTTTTTCTATCTATTGAGTACAAGAAACTGCCCATTTACCAATTTCAACTACCCAATAACATGATCAGAAATTTGCAATTTCGCCAATTTCACAAAAATTAAAAAAATATGACAATTTCAAAATAGGGTCCAGAATGAACAATGCAGACATTCCTGGCTCTAAAATAACATTTTCTTTGTTCATCAGTCACGTCTCCAGGCCCCTCTGATATTACTGTTGCTTTCTATTTTGAATTTTTATTCAAACAAAAAATAGAAGATTTACTGTTATGCAGACTACTGCAATAGTGTAATAATTGTATAAATAACGTCAATCCATTCATGACTGCATATTAGAATGGCTAGTTGGACATTTATTGGACAATGGCATCATTTGTTTACTTTTGAACATAGGCAAAAATCAAACATTTCTCCTATTTTGAGCTCCATTTCCAGGTTCTTTTTACAGTAAAACTAATCAAAATCATGTCTATTTCTATAATATGTTTTCCATTCTATCAAATGAAACCAAGAAAATGAGAATACAACCTTAAATGCTATACAAAAATAGACCACAAAGTCGGCATTTTAATTTAAAAAAAAAATGGTTGGAGTTTTTTTTTTCTCATTATGCACTGCGTGCTGCAGGATTTTTTTTATATGGTGCACACTGACCACACAGACCCATTCTCTCACATGTGGGCCTATCAGCTTTTTCTTGCTTGATTTGAAGCCGCTAGAATTTATAAGTACAGTGGACCCCCGCATAACGATCACCTCCGAATGCGACCAATTATGTAAGTGTATTTATGTAAGTGCGTTTGCACGTGTATGTTTGGGGGTCTGAAATGGACTAATCTACTTCACAATATTCCTTATGGGAACAAATTCGGTCAGTACTGGCACCTGAACATACTTCTGGAGTGAAAAAATATTGTTAACCGTGGGTCCACTGTATATATATGTCAAACACGGTGGCTTGTAAGACGTATATATATGACTGAAATAGTCAAAGGGTTAAATGTTCATTTATCTATTTCATTAGCCCTTTATATTTATTTCTCATTGTTTTCTGTATGTAAAACTATATTCTCTATAAAATTTAATTTTTGTTAATACTTTTGGGTGTCTGGAAAGGATTAGTTGGATTTACATTATTTCTTATGGGAAATACTGCTTCAGTTTTTGTTGAATTCAGTTTTCATCAGACTTTCTGGAATGAATTAATGACGAAAACCAAGGTTCCACTGTACATATCTGTTATTTTAGAATCTCTTCACTCTTATTTGCTTGGGAAGGTCATGTCACCGGTCAATGGTGCACCCATAGTCATTCTTCCACAAGTACAATGGATATATAAAATTACCATTGTCTATTTTTTTTTTTTAACATTTGTTTCTGATGCATCCATGGCAATCTTGAGCATATAATTTTAAATAGTATGCAATATCATCATCTTTCTTTCAACAACCAGCCATATCCCACCGGGGCAGGGTGGTCCAAAAGTAAAAACAGTAGTTTCTCCTTTTAAATTTAGTATTATATACAGGAGAAGGGGTTACTAGCCCATTGCAGTATGTAATATAAGGTTTATTAATTATGCTTTCCAGTTTGAACACCCTTTCTTACCTGCATTCTTTAAAACATCATCTACTTCTCTGCGTTCATGATTTTCATCCTCGTCCATAGACAAACCCCTTTCAAACTTCTCCCTCAAATTTTTTGCAGCAGGACGACCCTCAATAGCAATTGGCTCCTTCCGCTTTGGGCGCTTATCTTGATCCTCAAAATTGCCTGATTCAAACATTTCTCTAGTAGTAATATTCTTGCCCTAAAAAATGAAATACTCTAATATAAAATTTATAAAAAAAATAAACATGGGTTACCTCAACAAGAAAAAGAATATTCTAAGAGCCTACAAGCAATCAAATAATAAGAATCCAATTTTTTTTAAATGGCATTAGAATTTTTCTGTTCAGAACCAGATATATTCACTGCATTATACTAATATTTAAAAGTATTAAAAACTTGCAAATTAAACATACTATATTCTAAACAAGATTCACATTTAACTATTGTTTGTGTTATGGATTCAGTCCTGAAATAAAGCTATCTTGCCATTTTGAATTCTAAAAATTATCTCCATAGGAAAGGTAATTAAATTCTATTGTAAAGATGAGAGTTAAAAATAATGTTTGACAAAACTCACAGCACAAAATGCTGTGTATTTCTCTGAGTGCCATGAATATTTGAGAGTAAAAGTACAGTAATGCAATCTTAAACAAAATATTGTAAATACAATTAGATAGTAATTTGTAGGAAAACTTCTAAACTGAAGAGTTTATATACTACAACCTGCACAGATATTACAATACTCACAGCACAAAGCATTTGTCTGAACTTTGATAAATCTTCTCTCCGTTTCCGTGACAACTCTTCTCGTCGGTTCTTTTGTAACCAACCTGCTTTAAGGTCGTGCAAGCCGCTAAAGCTCGTCTGAAAAGCAAGTGTATTTAACAAAAATTCTTTATCATGGAGATGGTTAAACGTGTAAGGGTTATACAGCATCTGGCCAAATGGGAGGCATTCAGATTTGATCCAAGGGAAGAGTAGATCCAGTCCCTTGAATCAAGATCTCCTCACCAGCATCAAGGGAGGGAAACAAACATTCTATCCTAACATATAGAGCTTTAAAAACAATTCAAATGTTTACCAGGATAATGACTGAATGTTATTTACATTAGTCGCCCTGTATCTGTGGGGGATATGTTCCAAACCCTACCGTGGATACCCGAAACCATGGATAGTAGCAAACTCTTCATGGAAGTCAGTTTTTGCTTACATACATACCTATGACAATGCTTAATTGATAAATTATGCACAATAAGTCAAGAATTATCACTTTTTCAATGACAGGAAGCACTTAGGTTTTGAAGAACTGCCACAATCACTACTTTTATGCTTTGGGGCCAATTATTTATTTTTTTTTTTTTATTATCACACCGGCCGATTCCCACCAAGGCAGGGTGGCCCGAAAAAGAAAAACTTTCACCATCATTCACTCCATCACTGTCTTGCCAGAAGGGTGCTTTACACTACAGTTTTTAAACTGCAACATTAACACCCCTCCTTCAGAGTGCAGGCACTGTACTTCCCATCTCCAGGACTCAAGTCCGGCCTGCCGGTTTCCCTGAATCCCTTCATAAATGTTACTTTGCTCACACTCCAACAGCACGTCAAGTATTAAAAACCATTTGTCTCCATTCACTCCTATCAAACACGCTCACGCATGCCTGCTGGAAGTCCAAGCCCCTCGCACACAAAACCTCCTTTACCCCCTCCCTCCAACCCTTCCTAGGCCGACCCCTACCCCGCCTTCCTTCCACTACAGACTGATACACTCTTGAAGTCATTCTGTTTCGCTCCATTCTCTCTACATGTCCAAACCACCTCAACAACCCTTCCTCAGCCCTCTGGACAACAGTTTTGGTAATCCCGCACCTCCTCCTAACTTCCAAACTACGAATTCTCTGCATTATATTCACACCACACATTGCCCTCAGACATGACATCTCCACTGCCTCCAGCCTTCTCCTCGCTGCAACATTCATCACCCACGCTTCACACCCATATAAGAGCGTTGGTAAAACTATACTCTCATACATTCCCCTCTTTGCCTCCAAGGACAAAGTTCTTTGTCTCCACAGACTCCTAAGTGCACCACTCACTCTTTTTCCCTCATCAATTCTATGATTCACCTCATCTTTCATAGACCCATCCGCTGACACGTCCACTCCCAAATATCTGAATACGTTCACCTCCTCCATACTCTCTCCCTCCAATCTGATATTCAATCTTTCATCACCTAATCTTTTTGTTATCCTCATAACCTTACTCTTTCCTGTATTCACCTTTAATTTTCTTCTTTTGCACACCCTACCAAATTCATCCACCAATCTCTGCAACTTCTCTTCAGAATCTCCCAAGAGCACAGTGTCATCGGCAAAGAGCAGCTGTGACAACTCCCACTTTGTGTGTGATTCTTTATCTTTTAACTCCACGCCTCTTGCCAAGACCCTCGCATTTACTTCTCTTACAACCCCATCTATAAATATATTAAACAACCACGGTGACATCACACATCCTTGTCTAAGGCCTACTTTTACTGGGAAAAAATTTCCCTCTTTCCTACATACTCTAACTTGAGCCTCACTATCCTCGTAAAAACTCTTCACTGCTTTCAGTAACCTACCTCCTACACCATACACTTGCAACATCTGCCACATTGCCCCCCTATCCACCCTGTCATACGCCTTTTCCAAATCCATAAATGCCACAAAGACCTCTTTAGCCTTATCTAAATACTGTTCACTTATATGTTTCACTGTAAACACCTGGTCCACACACCCCCTACCTTTCCTAAAGCCTCCTTGTTCATCTGCTATCCTATTCTCCGTCTTACTCTTAATTCTTTCAATTATAACTCTACCATACACTTTACCAGGTACACTCAACAGACTTATCCCCCTATAATTTTTGCACTCTCTTTTATCCCCTTTGCCTTTATACAAAGGAACTATGCATGCTCTCTGCCAATCCCTAGGTACCTTACCCTCTTCCATACATTTATTAAATAATTGCACCAACCACTCCAAAACTATATCCCCACCTGCTTTTAACATTTCTATCTTTATCCCATCAATCCCGGCTGCCTTACCCCCTTTCATTTTACCTACTGCCTCACGAACTTCCCCCACACTCACAACTGGCTCTTCCTCACTCCTACAAGATGTTATTCCTCCTTGCCCTATACACGAAATCACAGCTTCCCTATCTTCATCAACATTTAACAATTCCTCAAAATATTCCTTCCATCTTCCCAATACCTCTACCTCTCCATTTAATAACTCTCCTCTCCTATTTTTAACTGACAAATCCATTTGTTCTCTAGGCTTTCTTAACTTGTTAATCTCACTCCAAAACTTTTTCTTATTTTCAACAAAATTTGTTGATAACATCTCACCCACTCTCTCATTTGCTCTCTTTTTACATTGCTTCACCACTCTCTTAACTTCTCTCTTTTTCTCCATATACTCTTCCCTCCTTGCATCACTTCTACTTTGTAAAAACTTCTCATATGCTAACTTTTTCTCCCTTACTACTCTCTTTACATCATCATTCCACCAATCGCTCCTCTTCCCTCCTGCACCCACTTTCCTGTAACCACAAACTTCTGCTGAACACTCTAACACTACATTTTTAAACCTACCCCATACCTCTTCGACCCCATTGCCTATGCTCTCATTAGCCCATCTATCCTCCAATAGCTGTTTATATCTTACCCTAACTGCCTCCTCTTTTAGTTACAAACCTTCACCTCTCTCTTCCCTGATGCTTCTATTCTCCTTGTATCCCATCTACCTTTTACTCTCAGTGTAGCTACAACTAGAAAGTGATCTGATATATCTGTGGCCCCTCTATAAACATGTACATCCTGAAGTCTACTCAACAGTCTTTTATCTACCAATACATAATCCAACAAACTACTGTCATTTCGCCCTACATCATATCGTGTATACTTATTTATCCTCTTTTTCTTAAAATATGTATTACCTATAACTAAACCCCTTTCTATACAAAGTTCAATCAAAGGGCTCCCATTATCATTTACACCTGGCACCCCAAACTTACCTACCACACCCTCTCTAAAAGTTTCTCCTACTTTAGCATTCAAGTCCCCTACCACAATTACTCTCTCACTTGGTTCAAAGGCTCCTATACATTCACTTAACATCTCCCAAAATCTCTCTCTCTCCTCTGCATTCCTCTCTTCTCCAGGTGCATACACGCTTATTATGACCCACTTCTCGCATCCAACCTTTACTTTAATCCACATAATTCTTGAATTTACACATTCATATTCTCTTTCTCCTTCCATAACTGATCATTTAACATTACTGCTACCCCTTCCTTTGCTCTAACTCTCTCAGATACTCCAGATTTAATCCCATTTATTTCCCCCCACTGAAACTCTCCTACCCCCTTCAGCTTTGTTTCGCTTAGGGCCAGGACATCCAACTTCTTTTCATTCATAACATCAGCAATCATTATTATTAAGATTAAATAAAATTTTTTGGGGGGCCACGGTGAACCATGAATAACTGTAACCACAGAAACTGAATCCATAGATATAGGGGTTTTACTGTATTCAAAAGTCTTTCCTCTCAAAAAATCCATTCATTTAGTGTGACCTTAGCAATACTCACAGATTTAGTATGTTGCTGTGTGAGATTTAAGAGGTTTGATTTTCCTTCATGGATTGAACCAAATGATAAAACATTTTTCATGAAACCTCATGTTTTAACCCTTAAACTGTCCAAACGTAGATCTACGTTTTTTCAACGTTTGAAAGTATGTTAAAAAAGTAGATCTTTTTTTTTTTTACATTTGAAAACGTGTAAAAAACTTTGATCTACGTTTTTTTTCTTTTATATTTGAAAATATGTAAAAAAAAAAACGTAGATCTACTTTTGGAGCACTACGCATGTGAACGTAGATCAGCTTGGACAGTTTAAGGGTTAAAATTCAGCCACAAAAGATATGAGGAGGAGAAGGAAAAGAAAGAGTAAGAGGATACGAAATATGTGAGGTAGCGAAAAGATATGAGGGAGGAGCAGGAAATGAGGGGAAGGAAGAAAAAATGCACAAGAATGATTTAACAAATACAAATTAGAGAGCTGTAGATAATAAAGAAAAGACCATCACCCCACAAGGCAGCTACTGCTACTGTACAGCATGTTGTAAACATCTGACTTACTGGACGTCCCTTCTTTGTTATGGCTTGATCTCCATGTTCTTCATCATCTTCCTCACCCTCTTCATCATCCTGTTCTTCATCTTCCTCTTCATCATATTCTTCATATTCACCAAGCTCAGCATTCTCTACCCCATAATCATCATCATCTGAATGCATAAACCTTGAAAAGGGAAGAGAGAAATTAACACTACTGTGCCTGTACTTTACTGAAGATTAACTAAAACATAAAATAAAAGTGAAACCTCTATATAGGCTGCACAGGACTATAAAGATTTATTTAGTGAAAAGGAGAAATCATAATCAAGCAATCTGTATAAAACTTTTTAACTGAAAGTGAAATGATGTCCTTACTTGGCAGCCCTGTTGAGAAGCGACTGAGAGCGGCGCACAGGTATCGGTTCTGGCCTTTGTTCTTCCTCAGTTGATATTAGTTCAAACATGGCAAACTTTTGTTTCAAGTTGGCTGCTGATAAGTCCTCAAGCCCATAATCTGGCTTGTCCGTGGCTGTGAAAATACTGATTTTGTAGGTATACAGCATAATGAATAGCCATTTTAAATATCAAGACATAAATCTGAACAGAAATAAGCACTGCACTGTAAACACACGGACTTCCTCTAGTTTCCAGCAGCTAGAAGACTGGAAAGAAAAAACACTATGCAGAGAAAGAACTGTACCTTGCTTCACCCATGAAGTGGTTATACCTTGAGTATACCTGGAGGGTGTTTTGGGGGTCAACACCCCCACAGCCCAGTCCATGACCAGGCCCAAAATGACTGCTTGTGTCAATAAGGTGATAGTTATATTCGATTTATCATAAACTTTGTAAAAGAAAAAATAAACAATTAATATTGGCAATATTATTTCACAGTAAGAATTTAAACTTAAAAATATGTCTGTACTTTTAATACCATTTTGTAATGCTCATCTTGAAATATAAACAAATTCTAAGGGAAAACATTATTGTATATTCAGCAATAATAATTCAATTATGCTGTGTTGCTGGTAAGACAGCTACTGAATGAGTAATGGTATATGTGTTTCTTTCCTTGGATCAGCCTTACCTTGATGGGGAAACAACCAGCAAGGTAAAAAGTTATAGGTTTTTTCTATTTCTTAAAATATTTTTAACAGGCACTGGTTGAGCAGTACACTATCACAATTATTTTTATGAAATGATTTTATAATAAAGAAGTGCTAAACCTACAAGGGTCATATATAAAATGTTATACATATTAATAAATAATGGCAGCTGATATTTATTACTATGTATCATAAGAAGAGCTTTAAGAAATTCTTCCAGTTCTGTAATGTTATAACACTAGTCAGTTCCTCCCTCCTGACTTGCCTTATTCAAGCTATTGTAGCAGCACTGCTGGCAAGTATTGTAGCAGCACTGCTGGCAAGTATTGTAGCAGCACTGCTGGCAAGTATTGTAGCAGCACTGCTGGCAAGTATTGTAGCAGCACTGCTGGCAAGTATTGTAGCAGCACTGCTGGCAAGTATTGTAGCAGCACTGCTGGCAAGTACTGTAGCAGCACTGCTGGCAAGTATTGTAGCAGCACTGCTGGCAAGTATTGTAGCAGCACTGCTGGCAAGTATTGTAGCAGCACTGCTGGCAAGTATTGTAGCAGCACTGCTGGCAAGTATTGTAGCAGCACTACTGGCAAGTACTGTGGCGAAACGTTTCCTGAATAAAGATTCCCATATGCTGCATAAGTGTCTCAATCTTCAAGTATTGTAGCAGCACTGCTGGCAAGTATTGTAGCAGCACTGCTGGCAAGTATTGTAGCAGCACTGCTGGCAAGCACTGTGGCGAAACGTTTCCTGAATAAAGATTCCCATATGCTGCATAAGTGTCTCAATCTTCAAGTATTGTAGCAGCACTGCTGGCAAGTATTGTAGCAGCACTGCTGGCAAGTATTGTAGCAGCACTGCTGGCAAGTATTGTAGCAGCACTGCTGGCAAGTACTGTAGCAGCACTGCTGGCAAGTATTGTAGCAGCACTGCTGGCAAGTATTGTAGCAGCACTGCTGGCAAGTACTGTAGCAGCACTGCTGGCAAGTATTGTAGCAGCACTGCTGGCAAGTACTGTAGCAGCACTGCTGGCAAGTATTGTAGCAGCACTGCTGGCAAGTCTCCTCCCAACAATCAACAATCATGAGGTTTCATCATTCATGACATTTCGCCATTGCATGACATTTTATTGTTTCATAACACTTCATCATTTCATGACATGTTTCATGTGTTTCTTGGTTTCATGACATTTTGCTGCTTCATAACATTTCATCATTTCATGATATGTTTCGTTGTTTCACGACGTGCTTCTGTTTCATGACATTTCGCCATTTTAAGATGTATTCTGCTTCATGTTGTGGCTTGTTATTTTATGATGTGGTTCATTGTTTCATGACGCATTTCATCGTTTCATGACATGTTTTGTCATTTCAAAACATGTTTTATAGTTTCATGAAGTGTCTTGTGAGTTTTGTGTCATGCCAAGTTTTATAGCTTCATGATTTGTTTCAGTTTCACAACGTGCTTTGTTTTCAAGTACTGGGTCATTTCAGGACCAGTGTCATGTGATTTGTTACACGTTTCACATAGCTTTTTTGACATGTCATAACTTTTTACATGGTTTTTTTTATGATTTCATGTGTTTCAATGTTTCATGAAGTGTTCTGGAAAATATTTCGTGTATTTCGTGACCTGCTTTATGATGTATTCTGTCATTTCATGGCGTGATTCATGTGCCTGGCAGTTTCACGCATTTTGAGCTTCATGGTATGACATATGATGCGTTTCACGGGTTTTGTTGCTTTATGATGTTTCATGATATGTTTTGTTTCATTATGTGTCTCATTGCATGTCTTGTCATTTCAAGACATGATTTGTCATTCCATTACATGTTTTGTGATGTGTGTTGTCGTATCATGACGTCTCGTGTTTCATGGCCTGTTTCATGTATTTTGTGAACTGTTTCAAGAGTACCTTCATGTATTTGACTTGTTTCCTTGTTTCATGTCATGTTTGTGTGTTTTCAGAACGTGACGTCAGTGCCAGCTAGGATGAACCCCCACTAACACTACACCTTCTAACCACTAACCAGTTAAGTATGATTTGCGAAGGGAGGGGGGAGAGGGGGGAGAGAAAGACAGTGACAGAAACAGTGACAGAGTGAAAGAGACAGTGACTAAAGACACAGTGAGAGAAAGACAGTGACAAAAAGAGAATGACAGAGACAGTGACAAAGAGAATGACAGACAGTGACAGAAAGAAAGAAAAAGACAGTGACAGAGAAACAGAGAGAGAGAGAGAGAGAGAGAGAGAGAGAGAGAGAGAGAGAGAGAGAGAGAGAGAGAGAGAGAGAGAGAGTCAGAGAGAGAGAATGAGAATTAAGAGGAAATCCAGGTATATCAGGTCAGTAGCCTGGTTGGATAGCATTAGTCACGCCACCTGCAAAACACGCCACTACTGCATTACTCTCGCCATCACAGTAATCCCCCCCACTACTAATTCCACAACATCGTGGGTGACCCGCAGCTCAGTGGTCAAAGCAACCCAAGGGTCCCGGCCAGGCCACGGGTGACCCCGTGGCCTGGACGCGTTTTCTTACACCTGTTGTCCTGTTCATCTAGCAGCAAGTAGGTACCTGGGTGTTAGTCGACTGGTGTGGGTCGTATCCTGGGGGACAACATTGAGGACCCTAGTAGAAATAAGACAGAGTCCTCGATGACGCACTGCCTTTCCGGAGTTATCCTGCGTGGCTAACCCTGCTGGGTTAAAAATTCGAACGAAATCTTATCTCTCTCTTATCTTATCTTCAGTTCCCAGTGTGGCAGGAAGGGTGAGCCCCTTCCCCTAACACCCCTGAGGCCCCAGGTCTTCCAGCAGGGCACCAGCAGACTCCACAATGTTCAGTAGTTAAACATCCCGTGGAAATTACAAGTGTGATATTTCTAAAAAAAAAAAAAAAAATGTTAGAAATGTTTTGCCCACGGCAGGGCGAAATGTAGCAGGTTTTACCCTGTTAAAAGTGACTTTCCATTTTCTTCTACTCTTGCAACCCGGTCTGGATATTTTCTGTTGAATAAATGTTCGATCAACCTGTTGCTGTTAGCGACCCATCTGGCACCTGGCGTAGTTACTGGTCCATTTACCTCTCTACTGGCCCTGGCAATATTTCTGATATCTGCTGGTATCAGGTTGAAGAGTCTTGCGCCACGGATGTTGACGCAGTGTTCTCTTATTGTGCCCACTGTGTTCCCTGCTTGTCACTGGTTTTATTTTGCACTTTCTCCCATATCTCTCACTTCAGTACATTGTCGTTATGGCAATATGTAGATTTAGGACCTGGCTTTCCAGTATCTTCCATGTATATATTATCAAGTATCTCTTCTACACTCCAGAGACTACACTTATAACATCAGGTACGGGTGGAAACATTTGGAAGTGTTTCCTTAAGACACCTGATGTCCCTGTTCACCTAGCAGTAAAATAGGTAAGTGGGTATTAGTCGACAGGTGTGGGTCACATCCTGGGGACAAAATTAACCTAACTTGCCCTATGTCAGCTATGGTCTGTATAAGTTGTAACATGTACTTGTAGAAACAGAGATTGTTATTATAGCTCCATTACTGTTATCTGTGAGCAGGCATTAAATGCCCCTCTGTATATTTTTCAGCTCTGGTATGTATCTCTCCTGCCTTTAAGAGTGCCATTAGCAATATTCTCAACGAGAGAGCACAAATACTACACCACTGGCGTTGTTTCTCTTCTTTTGAGTGTTCTCATTATTCACCCTCTCACTCTTCTGGCCCTCGTGGCATTTACTTTACCACGTTTTCTAAATAATAATAATAATAATAATAATAATAATAATAATAATAATACCCTTAGTTCATTTTAAAACGTGGCACTATCTACAGTATGCTATCACCCTGCAGGATGCCACTCATGACAGTCGACCAACACCCAGGCACCTATTCACTGTTAGGTGAACAGGGGCAGCAGATGTCAGGTTGCATGTACATGACCGCTTTGCCCGGAAACTGAATCTACAACCTCTCGGCTGTAACGACAGAGTTGTTAGAGGCACATAGTGGTATGGCCAGCCACATGGTTGGAGGGCCAGCTGCATGGCTGCGGGATCAGCCACATGGCTGGAGAGCCAGCCGCAGCCATGATGCAGGAAGGGTGCCACAGTGGCACACTGGTGCACAACAATTCTACATGATCGACCTTGTAATGAGACCAGAGATCACAGGGCAAGCAAGGCAGGCTGGGGTGAGAGAGAGAGAGAGAGAGAGAGAGAGAGAGAGAGAGAGAGGGGGGGGGGAGAAAGCAAAGAGAAAGCATCAGTAGTGTGCTGCTAACCTATGATCCTTTCAAACGGGGGGGGGGGGGGAGCGACACCTTGATGCCAGTGAAGGGTTTCCGATCCAAAGAGCTGGAGCTACCTCCCATTAACCCCCCCCCCCCTCTACAATTGACTGCACAGCCATGT